ATATATATATATATATATGCGACTGTTCCGATAACTGAACGTTGAACCAAAGAATCAGTACTAATAAACCCATGTGACCCTTCATTTGGTTTGCATAGATACACGTAAGCATTTAAAATTCCAACTGCCAAACACACGATCAAAAGATAATAATTACACCTTCTAGAAAATCAGTTTTCTTTTCAGAAGTGGGATACAGACCATTTCATCGTAAAGGCTAAAACCAACCATTTCATCTTCTTCCTCTTCCGTGTCGCAAAATCGTAATATCCATTGAAGACAATCACCCAAATTCACCCCTCTTTCTCTTTGCAAAGGTAAACAACATCTACTGGTATGATTGTATTTGATTCGAAACCTTTTATATTTTTAGTTTATTTTATTCACATTTGTTTCTTAACACAAAAATATTCAGGACATGCACTTAAATCTATGTTGTTTTAGGTTTCACTAAGTTTGGGTTTTTGATGATTATTTTTACTGTTATCATAAACAAAACCATTGATTCTAAAACTCTTTTCTTCGTCCCATGTATTGTCTTTGTTGCATGTTGTTGTATATTAAATAAAAACCTTAAAATGCAGAAAATGGACCATGTTATGAATTATGAAATAGATAACATAGTGAAACAGTTCAAATCTCAGTTATCACCAAATAAGGTTAAGTTATTTTATATATTTTCTTTCAAATTCGATATAAATGGTTTAATTCTATTATAAACTATTAATATTAATACTGATCCTTAGTTGAATTGTTATGTTATTGTTAGGATCGGATTTTTTTAAATGTTGAGTTTTACAGACACTGGAATGGTAAGATAGAACTAGGCGACTGCATCATAACAGACCCAAACGGGAACACGTTTAAACTTATTTTGAAAAATTTAGGTCAAACTGTTGGAATGTTTTATGGGGTAAATCAAATTGTAAATTTCTATGGTCTCACATCCAAACACATAGTTGACTTCTACTACAATGACACTAACAATTTCATATGCGTATTTATAATTTTTCTGAGGAGGAAATATGCTATCCTCAGTTGAAAAAAGAAACCAACAACACTTCAACAAATATCGGGTAAAGTTTACATAGACATAAACCCCAATGTATTATTATTTTAATACTATTTGTAGTACTAAATTACAGTTTTCATTTTGTCAGCATGGATACTGTCCAAATTATGCAACCTCAAATTGAAAATGAAGATTTAGTTGACAATGATCAAACCTTTCCTCCAACCCAACTTCAAACACATCCGACAATTCAACTTGAAAAACATCCAATTACTTGGTTTCCAACGCTGACCAAAGCCGCTTCAACCGGACGACAACCTTTGGTGACCAATTAAATGAATTCTATGTTTTGTTATTATATTTATAAATGAATATTAACATTTATGACCAACACCTTTTACTCATTGTAGTATTTTCCAGTCAAATATGTTGATGTGTGGAACGTTAACAACTACAAAATTTGTGTCTTGATTGATGAGCATGGAAATATGGTAACTTGTTTCCCCTTTTGACATGCTTCACATAAACTATTCGACTGGTATACAAGACTCGGTAGACCTCTTACGAGGTTATACTTTTTCAGTTTGAGATTAATCTCAGGCTTGCATGACCAAGTTTCTTATGCCACAACCATTGGTTTTCATAAGATACTAGACAATCAATATTTTGATTTTCTAGTTCATTAAGCAATATTTTGTACAAGTTATTGCATCTGTTAGCTGTAAATAATATAGATCAATCAATTTGACTAACAGTACATTTATTTTTGTCGAAGGAAACTTCGTAACCACTGTCACATAATTGACTTATGCTCAGCAGGTTATGTGTTAATCCTTTAACGTACAGAACGTTATCAATGGTAATGGAGGAATTTATACCTATTTTACCTATTCCCAGGATTTGTCCTTTCTATCCTCCGCCAAATGTGACTAGGCCTCCTTTCTTGGACCTAAGGTCTAGGACATAGACCTTTCGCCCGTCATGTGTAGCAAGCAGCCACTGTCTAAGTACTATGACTGGACATTTTCGCTTCTTGTTAAATAGATCTACAACATGTATTATTTCAGTCTTTGGTACCCAAATGGATTTGGGTCCATAAATGTTGGCGTTTGAGATTTTGGAATACCCCTTCTTGTGCATGTGACTGCACTTAGGCGTGAAATGCCCATACTTCCCATAAGTAGGATATGCAGATGTACTTGGTTTATTTTCTAATTCAGAATCAACATATGCTAATCCAAACTTATCATTTTTACTCCTAGAGTATTTCAAAAGATTTTCAAGATTCGTAGTTCCTAGGGTGAACTTTGATAAATCTGATTTTAATAATTCATTTTCTTCAAGCATTTCAGAAATTCTTTTCTTCTGTTCTCTGTATGCTGTAGAGATCTTTACTAAATTGATTAGAAGTTGATTATATGCATGCTGAAGATCTTTAAAATCATATTTACTAACCTCTTCATCACTAGATTTTGATGATGAATCTGTATCTACCATGAGACATATGTTTGCTTGTTCATCATCCTCAGATGATGTCGTGTCCAGGTCTTCCCAGGTGGCCATCATGGCCTTCTTCTTCTCGTAGAGAGTTGACTTCTTCTTTTCTTTCTCCTTTTCTTTTTCTAGTTCTGGACATTCTGTTTTGTAATGTCTTGGTTTCTTACATTTATAGCATAGTGGTTGTGCTTTGTCTCTTGAAGTTCTATTGTATTTTCTCCAGCATGACCCTCCCTTTTTCTTCATCATGGATTATATCCTTATAGACAAGAAGGATATCTCATCGTTTGAGTCACACCTCTCTTCGTTGCAACTCTCATCGGGCGCTTCTTCTGCCTTCAAGGCTTTTGAGGATGATTATGTAGGTTTCTTCTTTTGCACACTCAGTGCAATGGACTTTTGTTTTCTTCCTGCTTCATCTTGTTGGAGCTCCATCTCATGAACTTAGTAGTCCTATGAATTCCTCCAGTGAGAGCTTTTCAAGATTCTTGGATGCTCTCAAGGCCGTAACTTGAGGTCTCCACTTATTCCTGGGTAGACTACAAAGCAATTTGTCAATATGATCAAAATTATCATAGGTCTTACCTAGAAAAAAAAAGTTCATTAATGATAGTTTGAAATCTTCCAAACATAGTTTGGATAGATTCGTTCTCTTCCATCTCGAAGAGTTCATACTTACGGACCAACAAGCTTAGCTTGTTGCGTTTTACCTCTAGGGACCCCTCATAGGTTATGGTTAGAGTATCCCACATTTGTTTGACACTTTTGAAGTTGTTCACTTTGGTGTATTCTTCCTCAGTTAGAGCACACATGAGTGCATTTCGGGCTTTGGAGTTCAGTATGAATCTTTGTTATTGTCCATCATTCCAGCGTGCCTTGGGTATCTCCCTACCAGCCTCGTCCAACGGAATGTAGTCTCCCTATTTTACAACCTCCCACATTTCTATATGACATGCATCAAAGAATGCGATCATTCTTCGTTTCTAGTAGTCGTAGTTGGTGCCTCTGAAGAGAGGTGGGCGGTTCACCGCCTGTCCTTCGTTTTTCATTGATTGTACCCTGCAATGTTAGACGCTTAACCCTAGGGGTGAAGCTTTGATACTAATTGAAGTTTAATGGAAAACACATAGAAGGGGGGTTGAATGTGTGTGAACGAAGGATTTTAAAAACGTTTTCGCAAAGGTGCATTTTTTTGTCAGAAAATAATATTTCAAATGCTTAAAGAATGTGCAAGATTGGTATAAACGAAATTTTGCGTTTGAAGATCTATTGTCTGCTCGAAAATGGTTTCTTAAGTTAAACAAATATAATTTTGTCTAACTATTATTTAGAGAATAGGTAGTAGTAGATGAAATTTTTCAGTCTAATATATCAATATAAGTAAAACTACGTTTCTAAAACAAATGTTAATGCACAGAATTTTTATACTGGTTCACTCGTTCTGAGCTACGTTTAGTCTCCTTCAACTGAAGGGTTTCACTAATCACAACGGATTATAAGTATTCTTAACCACTTCTGGTTCGTCAACTTCACACGCTGACGCTAGTATTCTTAAACCACTTCTAGTTGCCCGAGTATTCTCAACCACTCCTGGTTCGTCAACTTCACTTGCTGACGCTATTATTGTTAAACCACTTCTGGTTCTCCAAGTATTCTTTTACTAGCCTATTCCGGCTTTATAGAAGATGGATGCTTTTAGTGTGTATGTAACTCTCACAAAGAGGATAGAATGGTTTCTACACTCACTAAGGTATTCAACCTTAGTTTTTCAAGAATGTTTTAGAGTGTGTATGTAACTCTCACAAAGAGGATGGAATAGTTTCTACACTCACTAAGATAAACTATCTTAGTTTTACACGGGTATTCAAATCTGAACAATAAGAGATGTAAGATTGTTTTGAAGCTTGCTTTTGCTTATTACTTGTTGCTTCTCTTCTCTCTTTTTTCTTCTCAGGTCTTGATATTTATAGCCTTGTGATAAATCTGCTCGTTGTTTGAATTTGAATGTGTCCGTTGAGGCAGAGTTTTCCTTTGGTACAGATGATTGCTCGTTCATGGCTACACAGATCTTTTTCATTTAATGCGTTTGTTTTTGCATTAATTGCTTTGCTTGCTAAATCTGTGTTACGTGAAGTCCTTTGCATAATTTGTTCCCTTTTATTTCTGACTTCAATCATGACCTAGGTATGTTTGTCCTTTTTCCGTCATTGTAGCTGCGGAGGCGTTGCCTTTCTCTGAACAGTAGGTGTACTTGTCCTAACACACGCAGCTTTGTCTTGTGAATTCACGCTCTTGAATTTTTCTTCTTTCTTTTCATATCTTTGATAACTCCGTGTGCTTTTCTTTATGAATGGAGATGATATATGATCTTCTTCGTTGTAACTAGTGGACTTCAGACGCTTTTTCCACATGCTTCGTTTGCGTCTGGCAATTTGAGTCTGTGTCTAAGAGTTAGACTTGACTTTGTCATCTCGTCTGATCAATCTTGGAGGTGTATGACTTTTATTCCGTCTAGAATGTTGCTTCGTCTTGTGTTATCCAACGACTGATGATTGTTTTGTTGACCTTTATATGGTTGACCATTGAGCTTCTTCTGATGTTTATTCGGTGTTGAGCCAACTTTGTCTTAGTCTAGTTTTGCTCTTGTTTCTGATTTCTTATATTGCGCTCTAGATTGTTTTTCACTTATCTTCGTTTGGTATTCGTTATCGTCTGGTGCACAAGTCATGATCCTTTTATCATTTGGCTTGATTTGTCTGATCTTTGTTTTTCTCGACCAGCTTCATGCTTTAGTTTTGCCTGTTCTTATACATATCTGAAACACGACTATACAGGTTAGTAATAATACTATGTATTATATTTGTCATATTCAAAACCTTGCTGGGAATTGCTTCGTCTGACTTAACATACATGCCTGGACCATAACTATTCATATACCTTTTGTTTTATAATCTGAGTTCTTGCATATTATTTTATCATTAACATCTTCATAATAGAGTTAGGTTTTCATATGTCTAATAGTTTTCAATATTTATTATTTCCTTAATTTTTTTGTGATTCTAAACTTTAATGAAATATTAAAACTCTTTAGGCTACATTAATATTATAGTTAAACTCTCATTTTGAAGTTAAAAATGTTTGAAAATCAAATTCCTAAGTGAAAACAAGAATAGTAGTAAAATTTTCACCAATTTTTGGAATCCTTTTGAGATTTCTCTACCTCTAAATTTTTTTCAATTTTGTGTTCTTATTTTTGGAATATTTTGTGACATAGATAATGTATCTAAAAGAAAAGGAAAGTAGTCACAAAATAGCTTCAAAAGAAAGAAAAACAAAAGTGTAAAAAAAAGAAAATAGAAAAGAAATTACAAGTGAAAAGATAAAAAACAAATTTATATAAAAAAATATTATGAGGAGCATTTTGTGAAAAACTTTACAAAAATATTTGTCACATTTCACTTCATATGAATTTGCATTTAATTTATAAGTAGACTTAAGTCTTTATTGTTTTTGTTATTCAAATCTAAAATCAATCCTAAGATTACTCTTTTTATGTCCTAGCTTCCAAATTGTACTTTAATTTTTGTTTGTTTATATTCTTGTTATGCTTTGTTTTTTTTTCACATTTAATTCTTAGAGTTTATCCTATTTTAATTGTGCTTTCTAGTTTGTCTTTTAAACTTTCCTTTAGTGTTGTTTTGGTGGGCAAATTCTTGTGAAGGTAAATAAGGTTCTTGCCACAAGGTAGCATCTTTGAATGTTGTTGAAAGTCTAGGAGGTTTTCCTCCTAGGGAGAAGCTATCTTTTGGAATAGTTTGAAGACTAAACACCTTGGAAAGGAGTGCAAACACTAGAAGTTTTTCTACAATAATGAGTTTGTTCATTGTGTAGGAGAAGGTTAGAAGATTTTGAAGACTTATTACTTTATTTTGTTTGTAATTTTTTAGTCTCTAATTCTTGTTTTGTAAACTTACAATGTGTTGGTAAAGTTGTTTAATAATTTTCATCAGTGCTTATGAAAATGTGTTGGGAGACTCACAAGTGCCCACCCAAACTTTCACATGGGATCATGACTAGCTTGCATCTTTATTTTCTTTGTTTACTTTATTTTTTTTTCAACTTTAAAGTTTTTAAGAGGTTCCAAGGACTTCTTATAACATGTTTATTACGTTTTAATCTTAGGAAAAACCTTTTTTTGACAAACTTGCATCATGCCTGAGAAGACTTCACACACTTTCCAAAGTGCTAGTGACTTTAGTTCACCTTCAAACCTTTAAAAATTTATGAGTGAACTAAAGGCACTTAAGCTTTGGAAAAAGGAAGAATTGTTAGAGAAATAAAGAAATGGAAGATATAAAAACACATATTAAGAAAGAGCTTAGAGAGTTTAAGGAAAACAAGTGCTTCTAGAAACAAAAAAGCATGGTAGTAACTCTCATAGTAGTAGTTCTACTAAAAGCCACACTTCCACTCATCATGAAGATAACTTATATACGAGTGAATTCTACCAACAAGAACCTAGAATTCCTAAGCCTAAGAAAAAGCATAAGGTAAGGGAATCCAAGGTGGATCTCCCTCACTTCCATAGAAAAGATGATGTAGAAGCATACTTAGATTGAAAAATGAAAGAAGAACAACTTTTTGCTTTCCACCAAGTAAGTGAAGAGAGAAAGGTTCCATTGGCAACCCTTGGCTTCCAAGGGTACATTCTATATTAGTGGACTTCCCTAAAGCATGAGAGAAAGCTCCATAATGAGCCTAGAATCAAATATTGGAATGATCTTAAGAGTGCCATGAGAAAAAGGCACTTACCCTCCTACTATTAAATAGAACTTATGGATAAACCCTAAATATTCCATTAAAAGAACATGAGTGTTGAGAAATATAGACAAAAGATGGAGTTATACATGTTAAGGGAAAGTATAATGGGGGAAGAGAGAACCACTATAACAAGGTTTCTTAATGGCTTGAACGTTGAGATCAGAGACAAAGTTAAGCTCTTGCAAAATAAGGACCTTAATGGCTTAGTTCAATTGTGCATTAAAGTTGAGCAACAATTATTTAGAAAGATTCTCATAAGAAGAATTTCTCATAATCATCTTCATGTCATAGAAATGGCCATAAAGAGGAGGAGTACTTTTCTAGGAGTTAGTCGAAGAGTGAACCATCAAAAGAAAGAGTGAGAAAAGAAAACTCTCCTATGAGAAGGAAACCCCTAACACTAGTTCTAAGACTACTAGTATTAAATG